TGAAAAAACTCACTCTTTTTCATATTTTATTTTTTTCTTTACAACATCAATTTACAACAAATTAATTAATTCTATTAATATACATACAATTTAAGAATAAAAATTAAAGAATAATAATAAAATACAATTAAATAAATTCTATCCTATTTCATTTTGTTCTATTTATAATTTACAAATTCCAACTATATAATTTAATTATAACTTACTTTATTCCCTCACATTTCATCGGATCTAAAAATATTCTTAAATCCTCCCTATTTAATCCATACTAATTATCTAGATAATCCAATCTCCAAGAAAATAAAATACTATAAAATAGATGTAAGAGAATATGAGGGATTTTTTACCCCAGTGCCCCTATTTGAAAAAAAAAATCCCAAAATACCCCATTTTGAAAATTATTTACCAATATGCCTCCTTTCTTGTGTGGGCTCGTCCATTCATTGGACCAACACCCTAAGCCCACTACATGCTCGTCCAATGGAAGGACGAGCTAGTGGAGATTATTTAGCAAGCATGAGCTCGTCCATTGGAAGGACGAGCATGTGGTAGTTTTAATTTTTTTATTTTTTTTTATTTTCTGAATTATATTTATGTATTATTGGATTTATTTATTTAAACATTTAATATTTATTTATTATAAGTAATAATAAAATAATAATATAAAATTTAATAAATAATAAAATTTTATTTTTTTTAATTCTTAATTTTATGTATATTTTTTTTTAATACATTTTTTATTTATTTATTTATGAATTGTAAATAATAAAATTACTAATGTTTATTTTTATAAATAATAAAATTACTAATTTTAATTTTTATAAATAATAAAATTTTAATGTTAATTTGAATAAATAATAAAATTTTAAGTATAATTAATACGAAAAATAATGTTTTTTTTTTTTGAAAAATAAATTATTAAATAGTCATTGATTAAGAATTAAATGAGTATAAATAATTTGTTATAAATAAATTATTGTTTTGTATAATTAAATTAGATGAGTATAAATAATTAAATAATTATATTGTATACGAATAAAAAAATAATGAATACAGAGTCTCGGTTACTGAATGACCGAGCTCAAACGTTATTTTTTTTTTATAAATAAGTGTGTTGCTCATCACCAAGTATCATTCGTGACCACTTATCTTAATCATAAAAATGTCGGTTGAAGCTCTTGTTTTCTATGGGCCAGAGAAAAAAATCAGTATTAACCTAGATCCTTTGTGGAATTTCAGAACATTGGTTGCAGCAATTAACACCGGATTTCGGCAGCTGGGAGGTCGTCGCGTGACAGTGAGGAAGATTGAGTATCGTTGTCCATATATAACGCTTACCGATGCTAGCCCGGAGGGGACTTATATGTACTACCTAGATCGTATAGAAAACGATGAAGATGTCCATTGCATGTTTTCAGCACATAGCGGCGAAGTAAACAGAGGAGTCACAGATCCACTTGTGTTGGTCGCTGTAGTTTGTTAGATTTTGTGTTGGTCCTTGTTGTTTGTTAGAGTTTATGTTATCTTCTGGTATTTCTTTTTTGTGTTTGCGGAGTCACGGGTCTAATTTATGTTTGTAGTTCGCGTGTGTTTTTGTAATTTTAAAGTTGTTTTGAATTAAAAATATTTGAAGGATTACATACAAAAGTAGTACAATAAATTATCTAGTTGGTCGGTTTGACGGACCAGCAACGTTGGGACATTTTCTACGCATATGACCTATTTCTCTACAAATACCACATCTTCTTTGCTCTTTTTCTGCGTCGTCCATCTCAGTTCTAATTCTAGTACTATGTGGACGCCCTTTTTTATTTCTTCTCATGGAATCGTCGTGGCATAGAGTAAAACCTTCATACTTTGGCCAGTTATCCTCGTGCGGTAGTCCCAGGAAGCTCTCCTGGTAGACCTTGAACACGCTTAGAACTTTGAAGACCTCTGGAATGTGAATTGTGTAGTCCTGTCGTATGCTAGAACATGCCGCTATCACGTGAGAGCAAGGCAAGTGAAATGCCTGAAACTTTCCACAGTCACAGAATCGACTACGCAAGTCAACACGGAAAGTACCCGTTGGACGACCGTCGTTATAGTTAGTCCTTTCCTGCACCACGAAACAGAATCTTTCGCGATCAAATTGCATGACGTTGTGTGTGTTAGCCTTAGCTACCTCTTCAGCCATGCCTTTGTTACAACCATCTGTAAACACTTTCCCTGAAGATAACATCTTGGTCCATTTGTGACCTCTTTTACCAAAGAGCGAACCCATTCTATAGTACGTAGACTGGACTAATGCAGTGATGGGAAGGTTTCTTGTTGCCTTTAGTACAGAGTTTATTGTCTCTGCCAAGTTAGATGTCATATGTCCCCAACGTTGCCCTCCATCAAATGCTCTGGCCCACTTCTCCCTAGGAATGTTGTCTATCCAGTTCGAAGCCTCAATGTTTGTTTTTCTGATTTCTCCGCGATAGTAATTAAATGTAGCCTCTGTTAATGCGTAACCTATAAGAAAAAGTGTGTGAAAAAATGATAACAGTGTGCTACGAAACTTGAGATAAAAATGTAAAAAATTGTTTTCTTACCCATGTTAACAAGTTTTTTGCGTAGAGCCTTGTCCTTGATCTCGCGCATGAAGTTTTGAGCGATGTGCCTTATGCAGTAGACATGGGAGGATGTTGGTTGAAGCCATCCGTTTTCGGGATTGTTGTATGCACTCTTTATCGATTCGTGTCTATCTGATATTAGACACAAATTTGGTTGCGGTGTCACGTGTAGTCTTAGGTTCCTCAGGAAAAAACTCCACGCTTCCTTTGTTTCACCTTCGACCAATGCGAAGGCTATTGGGAAAATATTTGCATTCCCATCTTGTGCCACCGCCATCAATAGAGTTCCTCTGTACTTACCATACAACCAAGTTCCGTCTACCTGCACAATGGGCTTACAGTAGGCGAAGCCACGTATACACGGACGAAATGCCCAAAACAAACGATGAAATATTCGTTTTCCAGAGAGTTGGTAACCTTCATTTGATATCACAGGTAGTGTTTCTAAATCTATAATGGTTCCTGGAAGAAAGGTTTTCATTACCAGTAACCACTGCGGTAGGTCGTTGTAAGATGTTTCCCAATTTCCAAAAAGCGACTCTACCGCCTTGCACTTAGCGATCCACGCCTTCTTATAAGATATGATGTACCCGTATTTTTCTAGAATATGGGCAATGATCACTTTTACCTTGAGTGAGGCGTCGGTGTTGACAAGTTCCCTGATGCTATAGCTAGCCATTTCTGAACTGAGCTTCCTATGGTCTTGTGCCATAGACGTTGAACTGCATGTGTGTGCCCCATACAACTTACCTATCACCCATTTCGAGCTCCTTTTTCTCAAAGAAGCTCTGCACTTGAAACCGCAGTCTTGTTTCTTACATTTAATGACATACCGTTTATTGTCAGACTTATACACCCAATAGTCAACACTGTGTGTTATGTGCCAATGCTGCAGAGCAAATACACAAGCATCCTTGTCGTCGAACTCCATTCCAACTTCGATTTCTTCACCTACATGGTTTTGAGTAGCATTTTCAAACACGGAGGTTGTATTGTCGTTTTCGTCACATATATTTTGCATGTGAGTAGGCGGGTTGTACAAACTTATTGGTTGTGCACAGATCGGCGTTACGTCCATATCTTCATTGTCTTCGTCATCACTGTCACCAAAAATATCTTGCATCCTGGCCTCCTGAATATCGTCGTCGCTTGCTTCTCCAACCTCCTCATTTGGTATGAAAGGGAGGTTGTTTTGTGTTGGCTCGTCGTCGGATGTTTGACTGTACCCGTAGCAGTGTGACTGTGTCTCTTGTGTTGGAAATGTTTCGGGGTTGTCTATTAGTCGAACATACAACTCAATTGTATGTAAGTTATCAAACATCGTGTGGCACCGAAACATTGCAATCACATCTTCGTCGTTTCTGATCGGCGTCATTAAGTAAAAAATTGTACGCGCGTCTTCAATAAGTGTTGGATGGCGATAAAATATTTCTGAAACGCTTCGTGTCAATTTTTTTTCCATTCTATCTTTCAAATGGGAAAAATCAGAATTCACATGAATTTTAAACGCGTACGTATCCGTGTTGCTGAACGAAAAACCGTCGGGGCTATTTGTTGTAAAAACACCGTTGTAGTGGCATGTAAGAATTAGGTTTCTCAGAGACATTTTTGAATGTGGAAAATTTTTTGGTGGTGAAGAATGATAGTAGAGTGGTTATGAATATTGCTAGTAGTATGTTTTGAACATTTTCATATACACATATATATGAGAGAAATAAAAAAATACGCCTACCTACAAGCTCGTCCATCAAAAGGACTTCCTCAATTCTATACTACCATGAGCTCGTCCATTCAAAGCCCGTTCTTGTAACGTGTTGCCTACACGCTCGTCCCTTCTATGGACGAGCTTGTGTTGGTGTTAGCTTTCTCGTCCAATGCATGGGCGAGCTTGTGTTGGCTTGTCTCCATGCAAAGAACAAATGTGTAAGGCCTACGCATGAGGTAACAAGGCATGCATGAAGACTAGTATTGCATGCAATAGTCATTCAAGACAATAAAGTTGACATAATTTATTCATATTTGCATGCATGAATAATAATTTTTCTATAAATTAGGTTTTTTACTTCAAACTTTCTACTCAAACTTTTTACTCAAACTTTCTACACTCACTTCAATTTCTAACACAAGTATTGTAATTCTCTACTCCTCGATTTTTCACCATGTCGATTTTGTGGATGGGCGAAGAACACCGTGGTACACAGCAGAATATCCAAGCAAGCGTAAGTTTGTTAATAATATCATTTCATTATATATTATTTCTAGTAGTTTAATAAAATAAATTTTGATTACATTATGTTTGTTCAATGTTGTTGCAGACAAATGCCCCAAGGTTTAGAGTACATTCGCATAGAAGACGTTCTCTTAGAAGCTAAAATATATATTTTACTTGCAATCGCTACAATAATGTTTCCTGACAAAAGTCAGAATCTATTACATTCTTCTTGGATCCCTTTCGTAGGGGATCTTATAAAATGCGGCACCTATAGTTGGGGTTCTGCATGTCTAGCTAAATTGTATAGAGAAATGTGTAAGGCGGCAGTGAAAGATGTTAGGAGCTTGAGCGGATGTGCACTCCTATTAACATCATGGGCATTCACACGTATCCCATTGTTTGCTCCTGTCACCACAGTGGAACCCTCGTATCCATATGCACAAAGGTATTACTTTATTAAAATATTCATTTATGTGTACATTGGGAAAATATTTTTTTATTCAACTATCTCTAACAATATTTTTTATTCAACTATCTCCGACAAAAATGTTTTTGGTAAAAAAGATGGGCGCAACGAGGGATGAACTACCGTGCAAATCCTCGTTTCCATCTCCAAGGTTATCGAAACGCTTTGGACCATATGCAAGAAAACGATGTAAGTTTCAAACCGCGTGGAAATAGTCTTCAATTCAACTCATTACCGGTATATTAATTTCCTTATTTTTTTGCAGTTCATATGGAGACCGTACATCCGATATCCGCTGCCGAGGCTTGAAGATAGTCAAATCTGGAGTGCAACAACATTCCTTATCTGTTTCTATACCGTTGAGATGCATCAAACAGATAGAGTAACACTCCAGTTTGGACTTGATCAACAAATTCCGCCCCCCCCCCCCAAGGTGTCTAAGAGAACACCACGCCATGACTATGAGAAAGGCACAAAGAGTTAATTGGCGACAATTAAACAGCGATGAGCTCAAAGAATGGAGAAACAGGAGACATGTGATTTTACAAGGGGCTGTCGTGTTAGGTGAACGCAAGCCAAGTCAAGAGTATTTAACTTGGTTTCGTGCCATTCCTTATGTGCACATTGCTCCGGACCAATTTTTAACGGACCCACGCTTGCAAGGATCATCATCGACACAACAAACTACGGCATCAATGCATCAGGATGTGCCACCAACCCACACATCCCAACATTCATACCAAAACCAAACACCCAACAACCCACTCCATCAACAAACCTATACCTACCCATACAACCAACAATATCATCCACAACCATACCTACGACCACCCAGACAGTTCACCCCTGTCCAACCGCCCCTCTTTGACCATACCGACCATCCTTTCCAAAATCAACCCTCTAACACAACCTACTCTCAACCCGCCTCGACCATCAACACTACCTATACTCAAACCTCCCAGAACTTTACGCCTGATAACGTCTACTACCCAACCTTTCAACACCCCCCATCCGAAACCTACCCGCCACCACCGCAACCACCACACTCATTCCAACAATTTTTGTTGACAGACGAGCAACTGATGCAGATGCCGGATTTTAACATTGATGATCTTCTTGATGAGCAACCGGGACCCTCTTCACGGCCGACAAACCCCCCTACAACACTACACCATGAAGACATGTCTTCTGACTCTTCTGAATCGACTAGAAATGAGCGTTTGGGTAGGGGACATAGACAGCGAAGGATCCCTAGGTGTGGAACTGGGGGACATATTAGATGAATTGTATTTTTATTTTAATCAATGTTAAAATTATTTATTAGTGAGTATTTCATAATTTAATTTTTTATTCATGGGTATTTAATAATTTAATTTTTATTAAGTAAATTTTTTTTTTATTGATGAGTATTTTTAATACATAAAATTTTATTATTTATAAAAATAAACATTAGTAATTTTATTATTTACAATTCATAAATAAATAAATAAAAAATGTATTAAAAAATAAATATACATAAAATTAAGAATTAAAAAAAATAAAATTTTATTATTTATTAAATTTTATATTATTATTTTATTATTACTTATAATAAATAAATATTAAATGTTTAAATAAATAAATCCAATAATACATAAATATAATTCAGAAAATAAAAAAAATAAAAAAAATAAAACTACCACATGCTCGTCCTTCCAATGGACGAGCTCATGCTTGCTAAATAATCTCCACTAGCTCGTCCTTCCATTGGGCGAGCATGTAGTGGGCTTAGGGTGTTGGTCCAATGAATGGACGAGCCCACACAAGAAAGGGGGCATATTGGTAAATAATTTTTAAAATGGGGTATTTTGGGATTTTTTTTTTTCAAAAAGGGGCACTGGGGTAAAAAATCCGAATATGAGATGTTCAAATAGTACTATGGTTGTTATAACTTACATCAACTTCCTAGAGTATTTAAGATTGACTAAAATGTCAGTGCACACAATTGCTACACATGAGAGCTACTACTTGAGAATCTATCGAGATCTACTCCATAGTTTTTTTATAACTTTTTCTGTTCATTCAACACAATAACATTTCATAGTACCTTTTTTTACTAAATTTTTTAAACTACTTAAATAATGGATAAAAGTGTTTGAAGCTAATACTTGTCATTTAAATTTCAGAAGGATGAAGGAGTCTTATTCAAATTACCCACAAAATTATAGATTGCGAAAAGGAAGACATAGCAACAACCATGATCATTAGTCAAATCTGGAAAAGTAATGTTTGGCTTTGGCCAGACAACAGAAGCCTCACTTGGACATATTCACATACTAGTAACTATCATTTTCAGTTCCGTTTCCATCCATATCTAGAACTAATATCTATCTATATGAGCCTATTAACAAACCTAAGGTCACTGTCCAAAAAATAAAAACAAATCTAAGGTCACCGACGCAGCACTATCTTATGCAACCACTTAATTAATTCCATGATGAAAATGTTTCTATTATATAACTTCCCTGTCAATAAATTTTAAAAAATACATCACTGACAAAAAAGAGTACTGTATGGATACTATATAGTGTGACAGAAATCTTAATAATACAAAATCAAAAATCATTTATTGATGGCAATACATGAAAATCCATATTTCATTCTATTTCATTGTAATTGCTGGTTGTAAACTATTACATTAACATTACTCACTGCCACGAAAAAGGTGAAAATAGTACAAAGATTTATCTCACTTGCTTCAATACTGTAACGCAAGCATTAGCCTAGCCATATATAGCAAGCCAAGCCATGAGTGACTCCTGCGCCAACTTTCCAATGGCAAGCCGCCATATTACACACAGCTAAATCATAACTAATTTCAAATGCAACCATACCATACCAATATCATCGCATCAGATATTAATCAGAATTATACCATACTAATATCATTGCATTAGATATTAATCAGAATTCCGCAATTAAACGTATTGCAAATATAATAGTAATAGTAGTAGTAAGATGGGGACATCACGAGAAGTAATTCTTTTGTACCTCATCTCATTTGTAACAAAAATATAATTGAGTTTATTTTTTATATAAAAAAATAAAAAGTAAACTATGATACGGGCCGGGCTGGGCTAGGTCTCAAGAGCAAAAGGTGTTTCTAGAAGATCATACGGGTCCCACAAAGCATCCAAAGGACAAGGACGGTTAGCGTCAAGCCTGACCCACGGTTTACCCTTTCCACTCCAATGCATAAGACTAACCGGCCCGGGATGTAAGCCTCTACAAAGCCCACGGAAATTATCACCGCCAAGCCCGTGCTGATTCCACCGGTGATCAACCGGAACTATTTTCCCGGCGAAAACAAGCAAAAACGGCGGCAACGAACCAAGCTCGTAGATCCTCATTCTCTTCTGAAGCTCCATCCATTCCTGAATCTCCTCCGTATAGCCTCCAATCCTCCACCGCTCCAAATCAATAACCATAACTCCGGTGTTGAAGTAACAAGCCTTACGGTTCGCGAAAGTTATCGAAAGCGAAGGATTCGACCAAAACGTCGGCGTAAAATAGTTGCTAAAATTAGCGTTACAGTATTCCGGTGCAGCTAAAACAGCGCCGTTCGTAAACGGCGTCGCAGCGAGTTTCGCAATGTCGTCAATGAGTATTAGATCGGAGTCAAGGTAAACGATCTTCTGTACACAATCAGGAAGAAGGTTAGCCATGTAATTTCGCGCGTAATTGAGAGGACAATCGAGCGCTGAACGGATTGAAGTTGAGATTAAACCGGAAACAGTGTTATCGTCGAAGGGGTATATTTGGAATTTCAAATAAGGGAATGAGTTTGTGAGTGTAGTGTTTAGGATGATATTGGAGGTTGTGGATTTTGACACGGCAGTGACGAAATGGAAGATGATGTTTTCCGGACATGAAGAGTGTTGAAGAACGGAGAGAATAGCGGCCATGGAGCCGCGGAGGTATTTCACGTCTAGTGTCATTGCGACGTGGACGGCTTCGTCGGAGCACGTGGCGTCGGTGGGTTGTGAGGGGCAGTTTGGGGAATTATAAAATTTAGGTGCTTGTTTAAAGCGTTGAGTGGTGGTGGTGGTAGTGGTGGTGCACGTGATATGATGGTGATGATGAGTAGAGAAGAGTAACAAGAGAAAAATAGTGATGACCATGGATGTTACCATGGTTTATGGTTATGGTAATATAAGTGATGATTTAATTATTTATATGCAAAGTGGTTTTGAGTTTATTTGATGAGAAAGAGATGAAGGTTATTTGAAAATCAGCTAGGTGACTCTATCATATCATGTACATAGTCATTAGTCAATGATATTTTCTATTCTGTTTATGTCTCTCGTTCAGTGCAATGTTCACACGGAAATATATGATTATTACAGGATGTACACGTGCTTTTTTTTAATGTTGATAATTATGAGCTTATGCCAATTATCAGTACTTAATATAATTATTACTCCTTTCATTTCAGGTTAATTATTTCGAGTTCAAATTCATATACTTTCCCCCTCTAATATCACAGTCATTCACCCGGTGAATATTAAGACTGTACTTTAATTGAAATAAAATAAGGTTAACATTCTAAAAATTAGTCGTGTATATACTCATAATTTAAATTATTTAATATGATGAACAATTTTTTTATAATTGATATTAAATTTTATAATAAAAGTAAATTAATTTTCCACAGAGGATAAATTTATTATAATAAACATAAAATTAAAATATATATATATATATATATATATATATATATATATATATATATATATATATATATATATATATATATATATATATATATATATATATATATATATATATATATATATATATATATATATATATATATGTATTTATGTTTTAAGACGAACAAACGGTCTAATAAAAGCAATATAATTCAAAGACTCAATACTGAATTTTGTTTAACAATAGATGACAAAAAGGTAAATTCTTGTCAAGAGGTTGCGCACCAAAATCAGACACTATAGTCATCGTAGTTGTTAAAATCGATCTGACGATCTATTGTATTCAATGTCACATTTGTTATACTGGTTTTAATTGTCATTTATATATAAATGTGACCATGCATCATTCACTATAAAACACCACCTTTATGAGGTGATAAACTCTCTCATAGAGCAAGAAATCCCTCGTAATGATTTTTTTCGAGGGATATAAACACCTCGCATTATCGTTTGTCGTAACTTTTTGCAAAGTGAAAAACTTCGCACAAATTTGTCAAACTTAAAATCATCTGCAACATCTTATAAGGTGCAGAGAACATGCATGATACGTGATAGATATGGTGGAGAAATTTGACATACTTTGCTAAGGGAAAACTAACAACACATAATGTTGAAGTTTGCAAAGTAAATAACACCTCGCAACATATGTATCAGTGCATGTGCATGTACATGTACGTGACGTTGTGATGTGTTTAACTCCTTGCAATGCAAAACTGGGTTAGAATGGTTTCTGCCACTAACAAATATCACCAGTAAAACTTTCCACCAATTTTTTTTATTTCAAAAAAAGCTTTACGATGATTAACTCCTTACAAACTAATTTTTAAAATTTTCAATTTGCCCCCCAAATACTTGTGAGAGGTAACATGTGTAAAATTGATTTTTTTTAACTGCATTGTAAGGAGTATATTTCTTGAAAAAGTTCTTTTTTTGCGAGGTGTTTTCCTCTGGAATAAACACCTCTCTAGAAACCAAATTTCTTGTAGTGATACTAAGGTGCAATATGTTTTTACTCTTGCAAATTGTATCTCTTTGTCCTCACAGACTTAAGAATTAGAGTGCTAATTTTACAGCTACACTGTGTCCACCAAAGACTTTGGCCGCAGTACCATATAGCTTCTACGACGACCTTCATCAGCATCTCACCAAATTTCATGTTCCGCGGCGGAATAATGGCATCATTTTATGGGAATCGTTAATTAATTCTCATGGAACCCTACAACAATTCATCTAATCTTTTTTCGTTGTGCCACCGCAACTGTTTTAATTAACCGTTCTGATCACTTTGTGTTTTCATAACCGTCGATAATGGTTGCTCCAAACCAACCCTAACCTATTTTAATTCATTACATCTCACCATATCTTCGATAATCAGAGAGTTATCTTGTGTGAAGGAACCCACCAAAAAAACCACAAAGAGACAGGCTTCACAATCAAGACGAAATATGAAGAAGGGTGATTCGAGACAATGATTAGGTAGACTTCATCCCCCAACGAAATACTCCTATTAGTGGTAACGACCATGATAACCAATTATGAAGTGTCAAGAATCCTGGTTGACGGGGAAAATTCATGTCATATCATGTATTTCGTTCTCTTCAAAGAGTTAGGATTGAAAATGGGAAGATTACCACGTTACAAGGGCACCAATCTAAGGTGTTCAATGATTTTGTAAGAAAACCTTGGGATAATATATAGTTGATGGTTTATTTTAGATAAGGAAGAGAGACGAGAAAGGTAGACATCCAATTCTTGGTAGTCCTTTATGAAAGTGTTTAAAATTGTATCTTGTGAAGACTGTTATTCGCAGCTCTTGACATTATCTCTTCTAACTTTCATTTAAAGATGAAATACCAAAAAAATCATGATGAAAAAATCACCATCCATGTTGACTTAGCTAGATCTCGACTAATATAAGACACATCGTTAAAAGACTTTAACATAATAAACCTCTAGCTATTAAGGAAAGTGCAAAGGGTTAGGCTTTTCAATAAGAGTCGGTTATACATAAACGTCATTAATTTTGATTTGTATTTGGATGAAACCATGATGGATGAAAAACATGACCTCCAAATCGAGGAAAGAATAAAGATCCCAAGTCAAGTTCCATACGAGGAATTCATAGTCATCTAGCTCGAAGAAAGTCTGGCCAAAACAGTAAAGATAGAAGTTGACCTTCCTAATCCCAGAAAAAAAGAGCACTTCAAATGCCTCAAATCCAATGGAGATATTTCTACCTTTCTCCGAATAAGATGCCCAACATTGACCCCATCATAGTATGTCATCAATTGAACATTGACCCCCTCTATCTAGTATGTGGTCCAAAGGAGAAAACACTTATCCCCTTAAAAATCAGTGGCTACTAGGAACATTGTTCAAGAGATTCTTTATGCTAATTTTATTTTTGAACTAAAGTATATTGATTGGTTTTCAAATGTATTCCTAGTTAGGAAAGCTTCGTGTAATTAAAAGATGTGTGTTGACTACAAATACCTTAACAAAGCATGCCCTAAAGATTGATACATGTTACCTAGTATCGATAAACTAATAAATCATTCAGATAGATACAAGTTACTACGATTCATAAAGGCCTATTCTAGATACTATTATATCCCCATGCACAAAGCAGGCACAGACAAGACCACCTTCATGGAAAGAAATGTCAATTACGATATAATGTCATGCTCGTTGGCATGAAAAATGTTGGTGTGATGTGCCAAAGAATGATGATCAAGATATTTGAAGGAGAAATTTATGAGATTCTAGAAGTACATGTGGACGATATGATCGTTAAATAAAATAGAGAGTAATTGCACGATGAACACCTTAATGGCAAAAAATGCCAATTACGATATAATGTCATGCTTTTTGGCGTGAAAAATATTGTTGTGATGTACCAAAGTATAATAATCAAGATATATAAAGGAGAAATTGGTGAGATGCTAAAAGTATACATGAACGATATGGTCGTTAAATACAACGGATATCAATTGCACGGTGATCATCTCACCAATGACTTCAATTATATCTAAAATATATAATATGGGAGTATGGGACTTTACCTAGAATAGTGTAACTTTGGCATTATGGTCGATAAGTTCTTGAGATCATATATAATAGAAAGAGGTGTTGAAGTTAACCATAACACATGCAACATGATAATCAAGATTGAGACATCAACCATGAAGAAAAAGATAATAAGGTTGGACGAAATACTCACTGCTCTCAGTAACTTCATTTCAAGATCAGCCCAACACACATTTTCGTTCTACAAGCTACTGAGGAAAAAAGTACAATTTTATTAGACCTTAGAATATGATCATACCTTTGTCTAAAAAACTCCATATCCACTTCTCTTATTTTTTTTCTAAATCATTAGTGAGAGATACTTTGTTCCTTTATTTTGTATAGTATATCGGGGCAGTAAGTGCAATCCTTATCAGAGAGGTGGGAAATATGTAGAGCCCAATATATTTAATATCAAAAGTACTAGCCGATCATAAAATGTGATACCAAAAAATTAAGAAAATCACTTTGACCTTAGTAATATCTTGAAGGAAGTTGCGATGTTACTTATTTGAACACACTTTAGTAGTTTGAACACTCCAACCTTTGAGGCAGGTCTTCCACATGCTAGATTTAGTAGGATAGGTGACGAAATGGTCAATCGAGATATTTGAGTTCGATATCTCTCTCGAGATATGAAAATCCTTTAGATCTTAAGTCTTCCTAAATTTTATTGCATAAATGACATTAACCACATCATAACCATTGTATGGAGTGGTTCGTCTTCCCGAATAGGTCTTCAAAGACTAGAGGAAGCATATTAGGGCTTATCCATGAAAGCGATGAAGGGTTGGTAGTATAAGTATCCTCACATTTAAAATTTTCTATTATTAACAATCAAGCGAAGTATGAAGCATTCATCGACAACCTCACTCTAGCATCGTATATGGGAGCAACAAAAGTCAAACTACACAAAGATTAACAATTGTTCATCTCCCAAATCAAAGGGGGAACATAAGCAAAATATACTTTAATGTACAAGTAAATCATCATAATGAAAGAAACATTAACCTTATATATATATATATATATATATATATATATATATATATATATATATATATATATATATATATATATATATATATATATATATATATATATATATATATATATATATATATATATATATATATATATATATATATATATGAGATCGAGGACGAATGTCATATCAAAGCTTGCAAGCATAAGAGCGGATGACATCAATCATTCCTTCACTCAATACGCATTAGGAAAACATAGCCTCATCATATTTGGTCTGGTGGTGGTTGTGAGTGATGCTACCATAAGCCTCTCGTGGATAATACTAATAATACATATATTGAGGTCAGAACCTTATTGGTTGACTATGT